GCAGGGTGTAGAGAACACCTGCTGGCTCTCTGGGTTTCCCAGAGAGATCCTGTCTTGCAGGTGGGGAGACCGTGCAGCCAGGGCAGGCTGGAGGTTAATGGTTAACCAGCCACAGGAGTGGGAACTCCCGCAGTGCTAGGATCCAAGCCTCTTGCCTCTGCTCTCCCCACTCTCCTCCCTGGTAGGGATGCCCCACTCCCCAACAAAGAACTTTCTCGCTTCTATTTCTGCCTTTGAATTCCAGCTGGTGCAGTGTGGAGCTAGATAAAGAGGTTCCATATGCACAGATGCCGGGGAGAGGGGACCCAGGCAGCCTGGGGCGAAGTGGAGCAGAGAGGGGCTACCCCTTCTCACCTTCTGGGTGGGCGGGTGGCTGGGCACCTGGAACCCAGCTGTTTGACCCCCCCCCCCCAGGAGGGAGTTCCATTCTGTCTCACTTCTAGAAAGGTCCATTAAAGAAGTGGATACGCACCTAGCCCAAATTTTCTCTAATTAGGCATGAAATCTTTGTAACTAAATAAAAAAAAGAATGAAATAAAACTGTTTCCCCGGTAAGGGAATAATTCCATTCATCATTACACTGAGCATATGTGAAGGGGAGAGTGGAATATTCACCACTAATGAATTGATAACAGACTGGCCCGGGAGGCGGGTGGTGCTGGTGGGTCCATGGCACTCAGGGTAGATGTAAAACCCAGCATCTCCGAGCCCGTGTCTCGAGGTTCCCCAAGGATGGGCCGGAGTGATGTCTAGTTAACAGACTGTAACACAATGCTCCTGTCTCTTTATGATCAGAAGAAGGGGAGGGCGGCGGGAGGCTGGCATGTGCTCCTGGCCTCTGCATTTGCCACGAGGGACAGAAGTATACTGTGCCCCAGTCTGTGGGTGCCAAGACAGCTGTGGCAATGCGGGAAGACAGCTGGTGGGCAGCGGAGGAAGGGGGGTAGCTGATGTTACTGGACTTGTGAATTAAGCCCCCCACAAACACACCAAATTGCCATGGAGAGTGTGGCAGGACAGAAACCATGAATCCGGCCACAGGGACAATTCCAGCACTATCAATATTCTGCAGGATCTGAATTGGTGCGATCAGACTGCTGCCAGCGGGAGCGGCTGCCTTGTCCGTTTAACCATGTGGCTGGTTCCCCTCCTGCTCCCGTCTCCTCTTCTCCCATGCCCATGAAATAAAGATCAGCTGAATAATCAGAAGTATTTGTTCCCAAGAAAGGGACCTCGCAAGAGAAGTCGCTGTTCTTGGAGGGTTTTCTTTCTAACATCAATGCAAGTGCAGACTTCTGGAGAACAGATGGTGACCTTTTACATCCACATCTGCAGCTTTGGATGGTCAAGAGAGTGGGAGGGTGAGTGTTCCCTGGCCTTCGGAGACAGGGCTAAGTGTCAGGCCACTTCTGGCCCGGCAGCCACCAACCTTGCAATGCCATGGTCTGGGCCTGCTGGACACCACACTTTAAGTTTGGGCTCAAGGCCCCTGTTGCAACCTCTGACGCCTCTTCTGTCCCGCCAAGAAAAAGACCACGAGGGATCCACCATCCTCTTGCCGGATTCTGGATCTCAGTCAAAAACCTGTGTGCTCACAGACCCCACTGCTTCTCGCCAGTGCCGCCCCTACACATGGCTACAAATGCCAGTCCCAGGTAACCACTCTGCCAGCCAATTTGCCACCCTCCCTTCCCAGTGCAATTTGCTGGGGCACAGAGGGCAGCCTGTGGTACCTTCTCTTTACCAGCCTAAAGAGGATTGCTATGGGACAGGAGGCAGGGTGGGAGATGGGGGCACTGAGCCTGGCTCTTCCCGCTCCTGGTGGCAGGGCCAAGTTCTGGGAGCAAGGTGGGTTGGAAATGACTGAGGCAGTGATGCCAGGTGGGAGAAAGGGGTAGGAAGACAGATGCTCCTGACCACCCTGCCCCTCCCCCGACACTAAGCCCAGTAAGGGTGTCTGAGAGTGGGTCCATTTCCTGTTTTCTACCCTCTGTCCTCAACCCCCTAGCCTGCAGCCTGCTGCCGGAGAGATGACAGGTAATTAGTTCAAATGGTGCTCTGTGAAGAGACGGGAAAGTTAATGAATTCTTCTCTCTTCTTGCCTGGAGGTCAGAGGCTAGAGGGCTGCCAGCAACTCCAGAGCTTTCTGGGGTGATCACACAACAGTTGTGCATTTCAATGAGCAAAAGCTGAATGCCTCCCGCCAGGGCTATCTCTTCTGGGGACTCCACGGGGCTCAGAGCAAGGCAGCAGAACCTAAAGCCAGCCCAGAGGGAAGAGTGAAGTTTCAAGGTCTGGGAAAGAAGCCCAGTCAGCCTGCCATTGTGTGGGGAGGGGAGAGCTGAACCCGACACCGACACTGGCTCCACAAACATGCAAGGCACCACCGGGTCCTCACGCTGGGCACCTGTAAATTTTATCTGTGGTGCTCCCAAATATCTGTGGATGCCTCCAAACCAAGGGGGTCCAGGGACCCGGCCCTTCAGGTCCTCTGCATGGCTCTCACTGGTGCCACACTTCTCAGGATTGGGGTCCCCGACAAGGAGAGCCGTGCTTATTCCCATTGCCCAGATCTTGGGAACTCTCGCTTCTGGACCTTAACTGACCTGGAACCCCAAGTCTAACCCCCGGTTCCTCTCCCTCATGACTTCATGGAGCTGAGCTGTGTTTGAGTTGGGAAATGCCAGGGCAAGGGTTATGCCAAACAGGTGGACATTTTTCAGGATCCTAGAACAACAGTTTCTGAGGACACTTCCTTGGCCATTTAGACCCTGATGGACATTTCTAGAAACTACCTGTAGGGTGAGTAAGATCGGGTCCAGGTTATTGAGGATCCCTGCATCACTTGCGGGTGGGGCAATGAGAAGCACATGGGAAGGAGACGGTCTCAAATGATTCCAAGGAAACTGGGACCTGGAGCCAGTTCCTCTTCCAACCCCCAGCACTCCCACACTCAGCGCTTAGAATCCTTCTCTGGATCTCCCCCAGCTGGAGCCACTGATGCATTCCCCTGCCCCTATCCCCATGCCAAGCTCTGATGGAAGGAAAGGCCAACGGCCACGAGGACTCTGGCACTAGAGTGAACGCCCCCAAATCGATAGCTAACCCCAGTGGCCTGAGGCTGTCTTGTTCATGCCGTCTGAGGCCTCCCTGGGTTCCAGCTCTCGGGGTGACCCTTTCTCTCCACCCCCGGGCTCCCCAAAGCCGCAGCGTGCCAGCAGGTGCTCGGTGCAGGCAGACGCACCACGGAGCGCTGCCGCCAACCGCAGTCCCAGGCTGGGCAACCGGCGGGCGGCGGGGAGGCTGGGCGGCCAGAGGCAGGCTGCGAGTCCGCGGCACTGGGGCGCACATCGTATTCCCGTCGCTAACGTGATCGACCCCGCGCGCGGGGACTCGCCGACCTCCGCGGGCGAACCCGGGTGCCTGGGGCCGGGACCCGGGAGAGGCGTGCGCGGGAGGCGCCGCCGTGGGGTGTGCGCGCGTTTAGGAAGAGGGCGGAGGGCGCCGCCGGCTCCCAGCGCCCGGCCCCGCCACCGCTTACCCAGCTCGGCGACGTCGGTCTGTCCTTCCGTCCCCGTTCCGTGCGCTTCGGCGCCCGGCAGCCGAGGGCTGCGCGCGCCCCTTTGCTGCTCAGCACCTCCGAATCACGGGGACGACCAAATCCACATGGAGTCCAAACGCATTAAGACCCACAGCAAGCCAGCAGCCACTTATCTGTATTCCCGGAGTGGCCCCTCGGTGTCGGGTTCGCGCACCCCTCTGGCAGCCCGGCCGAGCGCTGTCGCCCGCTAGCTGAGGGCACCGGGAGGCGCCGAGGGGGCGTGTGGGGGTGGCCGACTGGGTCCTTCTCGGGTAAGCAGCAGAGCCCCTGCTGTCTTCAGATTTTTTTTTTTCCAGGGCGACTTTCCGGGCTGCTCTGACATCAGCAACCGCGGCGCTTCCTTCCCTTCTGGCTCTCCGGGTCGTTCACAGTCCCATTTCCTCCGGGAGCCCCGCTCTCCTGAGCTATTCCGGGCTGTGCTCTGCTCTGCCGGCGCCCGCGCTCCCGGCCGCTTCCCAGCTCGCAGGGTCTCCCTCTCGCGATCGCCCGCGCTCCGCGATGCCAGGTCCCCGGCGACTGCGCTCCGCCGCCCTCCCGCTCCAGTCTGGCGCGGACCCGCTGCGCCCGGCAGCTCGGGCTCCCGCGGCGGCGGCGGCGAGCCCTCGGCGCCGGCCTCCCTATATTACCGCGCAGCTCATTATCATAGAGGCCGCGCGCCTTAACCCGCTCGCTGCCGTCGCCGCCGCCCGCCCGCCCGCCCGCCAGCCCGGACTGGGGCCGCGCCCGCCGCTGGCACCGCCCGCCGCCGCCGGTTCCCCGGTCCCCCGGCCCCGCCCGCGCGGACTTCCTCCTGCGCAAGCTGTCAACAAAGGAGAACCGGGGTTGGCACCGGCGCCTGCCCTGTGCCCGGCTCAGCCCGGACCTGTCGGCCACCTTCCGTGGCCCAGGGGATGAGTAACGAAAATGCCGCTGGGGCCTTGGGGGAGGCGGGCTGAGGCCTGGCGAACCCCTCCAACCCAGCACCCTACCCCCCCCACGCACCGCCCGGGAGTGCACGGGTGTGTGCGGTGGGGCCCGGGCCTCCTCCCCCGGCATCACCTGTCACCGCGCGCGCCCTGAGCTCCGCCTTCTGCTCTTGAATTTGAGAGTAAGGGGTGAGTGGGCAAGAGCGGACCTCCGTGGAGACGGGAAGGACCGGGGTCCCGGGGTCTCGGGGTGGTGTGTGGGGAGCACGTTTCCGCTTGTGAATATCAGAACGCCAACAGGCTCTCTGGCGGGGGCCGAAGTTGTTGCTATGAATGATTATTTTCATCATGCGAAGAAGTGCTTTGCTCCTTGAATCTCAGGCTTCCTGCTGGGTCGGGGACCACGGTATTCAAACGAGGACGCGGGAGGGGAGCTTTGCTTTTACGCAGGCCCCGGAGCCTGCCGGGCAGGGCAACCCGAAATCTGGCGGTTAAGGTAACTTATTTTAATAATCTAGGAGGAAAAATTTCTGGATTCCAGAAGACAGTAACACCTCGGCGCTCTGCCTGCGCGCCCCAGAGTGCCATTGTCACCGCAGCGGTTGCTGGACGCACCTCTCCCAAGGGGCCTGTGAGCTGGACCCCAGCGAGGTGGCAGGATCTGCCTGGTCCCTGCTTGCCGGGTGAACGCACGCGAGTTAACTCCACATGTCCGTCCCGAGCAGCTTCCTGTACTGCCCTCTCGTGGCCACGGTGCTCAGTGGTAGAAGGAGAAAACCCAGACAGGTGCCTCGCGAAACCAGAGGAGCAGTTGAAGGAAATTCTCAGAGCAGCCAGGCAAAGGTGCCTGGTCATGGCAAGGTTGCGCGAGTCTAGACTGTGTGGGCCGGGATGAGCGTTCAGCTTCAACAGTTCATTATAATCATATAAATGTGTGTTTCTGTAACTTTTGTAGATTGCTCCTGATTGTATCCTGAGCAATCACAAGGGGTGTACCTGGTATCCGTTCCTGGCTTTGAACGTCCTTGGCAGTTACTGGGAACACACCAGGTAATGATGATGGTGTTTCCCCTTCGTTATTAGTAAGCACATCTGCTGCACTGAGCCTCCTGTCATTCAGTGGACTGACTCTCACCCCAGTCACAGCTTTCGGTCCTGTGGTCCTAAACCGGAGGAAGTATGACTCTGGGATCCGGAGGGCACATTTCTTCCCCAGGTCTTGATTGAATCACCTCTTAAGAAGGTAACGATACAATTTCAATAGCTTCCTGATGCTACTCCTTATCCTGGCGGGACAGCAGTGATTGCTAGAATGAATAGCAAGGATGCATAAAATGAACCAGACTTCTTCTGGTACCCCTGGTGTCACTCTGCTCTTCCCCTTCCAGAATAAAGAGAAAAAGGGAGAAGAAGGAAGGGGGAACCCAGTGCAGGAGTGGGGGATCATGGGACACAGTGCCGCCCACTTTATAGCAACTGAGCAGCATCTGAGATGTTTGCCCCAGAGGTATGGGAGTCCCTGCTGGGGTGGCACCACAGGGAGAGTGCTAACCACGCTGGAGGGAACAACCTTAACTTGCCTGTCTGCAAAATAGAGTTCTACATCTCTTCCGTAGAGCAAAGGGAAGGAGGATACTTTTGTGAAAGTGTTTGGAAAGTTAACAGTAATCTTGAAAATGGAAACAGTGTAACTTTTAGGGTTACTAGGTCAGAAGAAATAGGGTTCTTAGTAAAACATGTAGTGCTGATAGTATACTTGGTGAACGAGACAAGTTCAGCTTTGTGGCTTGTGTTTTGACAATATAACACCTCCTAAGACAATGAGCCTGTCCTCTTCACAGCCGCTCACATAGTCTATCCTTTTGATTGCAAGGTGCATATTCATTCATCTGTTCCACAGACATTTATTAAGTACACATTTACGAGCTCCCATCCTTTAATGGAACTACATATGGTATGTAATTATTTCTTCAAGCACATTAAAACTATTGATTGATTGATTTGGGAAAGGGTTGGGTGAGGGTAGAGTTAGAACTGGGAACTTGATCTAGTGAAACGAATCCAGTGCCTGGAGGCTCCCTGTTGCTTCCCAGGTTTGCATCGACAGGAAGCTGGAGCTAGGAGCTGGAGCTGGGAATCCAACGCTGGTACCCAGGCCTGGGACGTGGGCATTTCTTCCAGGGTCTTAACTGAATGATCTCCTGGCACCTACTACAAACAGCAGCAAAGCTAATCTCACGGAGCACAGACACCGGTATTCATTTGGGTTGTCTAAACTCAATGTTCTTGTGTTTATTCTGCCTTCTAGTATTCTTCCTCCTCTGCTCTAGCTAATGTCAAACCCAAGGCCTCTGGGGACTGACCAATTCTTGGCCAGCACCTTGCACTCACCTTCATCTCCACCCTGGAGGGCTGGCCACAGCTCAGCCCAATGGGGCAAATACTAACTAATTATAAGCAATTGGCAGAGTGAGTAAAAGGGGGCGTGGGAATGTCTGTTTATGCCAAATTTTACCGTTGGAAACATCACAGCAAGCCCAATATTTTTCACCCCTCTGTCCCAAAGACAGCCGCTTCCTGCAGTTGTGGTTCTCCCAGAAAGTCATTAGCAATAATTGCATTGTTAGTTCAATGCCCGCGTCTGTTCTTTCCTCTCTGCTAGCTGGCTGACTCGGGCTGGAGCACAAGAGAAGTGGGAGTGAGTGGGGCCATGGCATTCTAGAATGGAGCTGCAGGTGTCTGTTGAGAAATGAGGCTTTGCTTTAGGGAAGGCGGGTCTGGCTGAGCAGCCCCAGGCTGCACTTCGGAGCCCAGGAGCAGCCTCCGCAGGTGCTACAGGGCAAGCACTGATGGGGCCTGGACACCATGGGCACCCAGCTGTCCCCGGGAAACCCTCTCTGTCGCAGTAGCAGCCTCACAGATAGACGCCGCAACGGTAGCCCCTTGGATTGTAGGAGGTATTTTTGGTGCTGGAAGCTGGCCACCCTTTGGCAGGCTGGAAGCACTAAGTCTGCTCTTTAGCGGTGGGGGAGGTGAGCCAGCAGTGCTCAGCATGGGAATGTGGCCTGCCAGTGTGTGTGTGTGTGTGTGTGTGTGTGTGTGTGTGTGTGTGTGTGTGTGCGCGCGCGCGCGCACGCGTGCACATACACTGAGAGGGCCTGGGTGGGATAGGAGCTGGGCCTGGCGAGGAAGGGCAGGGACGAGTGGCTCCTGCTTGCCAGTATCAACGGGTCATCTGTGGGTGGCACAGTGGCTGTGGGCAGGCTTGTGGCAGGCTCTGAGGCTGAGCTGTCTGATGCCACGACCAACTCTACCTCTCTCTCTCTCTCAGCCCAGTCCTGGCCTGGCCACCCTGAGAGGCAGGAGCCTGTTGCCTTTGTGGGTGGCCCTTATCTCTGCCATTTTGCTGGTCACCTTCGCCCAGCGGACTCTGCCAGGCAGCCACGGGAGCTGCGCAGCCGCCTCCTCCCTCCACCCCAACATTGTTGGCAACAAAGGGATCGGTGTGATAGGGCTACCCAAGTGTGTGGGCCAAGTCCCATGGATGGAGGAGAGAGACTGCCGGATTGCACGGGTTGTGGGGGGTGGGTTCAGCCTGGCAATGGGGCCAGGACCCAGGGCCCATGCATAGGGCATCTGCTCTGAGAGCCTCAGCCCCGTTCAGAAAGACTCCGGGCTCCTCTCTCCTCCCCTCTGCTCCCTCTACAAATCCCACTTTCCTGTGTACTTTAAACAGTAGCAAGCCTGTTAAGGCTCCAAATCAAACAGGCAGGATTCCACTTCTTTCTCACGGAGCCTCCCACGAGCAGAGCTTGTGTCCCTGACTGCCTCACCCTCTTCCCCTACCCTTGCTCCCATCCTCTGGCCCTCTGGGAAGAGAATCATCTCTGCAGCCCAAGCCTGTGGGAGGTGGGGCTGGGCGGGAAGGGTGGCCCACTGGACGCCAGGTGTGGCAACTGCAGCCTAGGCAGGTCCCGGACCACGCTCAGGACTTTGTTGCTTCTCTGTGTTTTGACTGAGGTTTTCAAAAATGGTTTCTTTCTTCTCTTCTCTCTCTTTCTCTCTTTCTGACAGTTTACAAAAGAGGAGACGCTGCCCATTTCGTCCTGCAGTCCCAGGCTGTGTCTCCAGCTGCCTTAGTTTCTTCATGTACCGTGTGGAAATAACACCCTTTGCCTCACATAACCTTGCCAGAACTCGCCAAGACGCTGCGAAAGAGCTTCCCCTGGTACTCATCCAAAGGCAGGGCATGTTGTCTGGGAAGCTGCACGTTCCGCCCAGAGGAAATCTTGCTTCCCAATGGTTGCAGCTGAAGTTCTTTCTCCGGTTTGCTGTTCAGAGACACAATGGGGCTCCTCCGAGTAGCTCTTTGCTTAGGAGATGATTGCATTGTCCACCCAACCCCTTACACACACACACACACACACACACACACACACACACACACACACACACACACACACTTCTCTCTCAGTGCTCCATGGGAAATTCGAAAGGGCAGAGAGAGATCCTGTTTGCTTGTTTCCCTTGTGGAATCGCGAAAAGCACGGGCATGCGCTGTGGGTCCTCAGTGCTGGTCAGCATGCACGCATACACACCTTCCCAGGAAGGAAGAGCAGGGCAGGGGTCCTGGGGAGAACACCCCTCAATTGTACAGAAGTTACGATGGCCTTGACCTTGGCCACCTGAGACACACTGCAGGGAGGCATTTTGGAGTTTCTCCCATTAGCAGCCTGGAAGCCCCAGATTTGAACTCCCCTCTGGGCACAGGTGACAGTGGTTCTAGGGTTTTCTGTGGGAGCTGGGCTGCCCCGGCTTTCTGAGTTCTCCAGATCTCACGGGTGGACTAGTCCAGAGCCTTCTGGGTTTGGGGTAGATACGATTTCACCGAATCAGAGCAATTAATTACTTTGAGATCAGAAACTCTGAGGCCCACGAACGTCGTGATGATTTTGTCAAGGCTTCTTCATTAAGACAAAATCATACCTTCCCTTCAGTTGCCGGTAACTCCTCAAAATACAATAGCAAGTGTTAAGCTGATGTGGGGCTGGTGTTAGGTGCCTGCAACACTGGCATCCCATACCAGCTCTGATTTGAGCTCTGGCTGCTACACTGCTGATCCAGCTCCCTGTTAATGTACCTAAATACATGGGTCCCTGCCACCCATGTGGGAGCCCTGGACGGTGCTCCAGCTTTGGCCTGGCTCCGCCCTGGCTGCCATAGCCGTCGGGTGTGAACCAGCTGATGGAACTCTTACTTCCAGTGTTGCTCTCTCTCCCTCTGTTTCTATAGCTCTACCTTTCAAATAATACTTTTTAAAAGTGTGCCACAGGTCCACCCTGAGCCAATGCTCTCAGAACTCTAGTCTTACAAGGCAAGTATTATTACAGCCCATTTTACAGAGCAGAACTGAGGCTCAGAAAGGCGAGTGGTGGGCTGTGCAAGTAATGCGGGATACGGTCAGGTTGTGGCGCCTGGTTTTTCTACTTTTGCCCCTCTTGCCAGGAGGACAAAGTCAGGGCCCCGTGCCATCCCACACCTCAGATGCCATGGCCTCATCCTGCTACCCCCGGGGCTGGGAGCCCCCTGCCGCAGAAGGGCGGCCCTGGAGACTCCAAGAGTGGGTGCAACATCTCCAAGCTTCCATCCGTGTGAGGGTCAGCAATGTCATTTCCTCTTACAAAGGAGAGCATGTTGTAATTGTTGTCACGATTATCATCAACAATCATCCTAATGAGCTCCAGTCTCCCCCACTTCACAGGGTGTGTATGTGTTTAACAAGGAGTGTTGGCCCAGAGGAGAAAAAGTTGCCAACACATGCGAATCTCCACGGGCTGATGTCACCTCTGCCCCGGGGACCTGCTGTCCGGCCACGGCCACGCCTGTCTTTTAAAATAATGGGATAATTGGGTGCAATGTGCTTCGCCCCCACCCCTTAGAGCAAGGCTGCGGCCGTCTTTGTGGGAGTCCATGGGAAGCCGGGCAAGCAAATGCCAAAGTCTGCCTTCCCGGTGATTGCATCCGTGCCTTACAAACCCCAACAGACTTGACCTCCCAGATCCTCCTAATTAGGGGAGAAAGACAAGAATGATAGCACGAGAATTTCTTCTGCCTCTGACTGTGTGTTCTTCAGGAACAGGCCATTAGCTCGCCCTGTCTCCG